TTGCTGTGGCATAGTGGGCTCAATCCTCAGAAAACAACTGTACATCTGTATCACCCTTTCCCAGACTCAAGGAACATTTCAGAAGCATGGAAAGAATTTAAGAGCTGGAGGAGGAGGTGGAGTGTTAAGAACTCTGTCCTCCAGGAATCACAAGGCTGTTTCAGTCTTCAAATCAGCTGACAACCTGCACAAGACTCGGCCTTTCGCACACCCTGTATAAGTAGAGGACTCATAAGAGTATTCCTCTCCCTAAGGATACATAAGCAGTTAAGAATGTTGGAGGGGGTGGGCACTCTTGGTGTAACTGCCAATAAGTTGCCCATGCTTCTGTATCTACAAAAAAGCCACTGGGGGATGAAGAGATGGCTCAGCAGTTAAATGTACCGGATGCTCTTGCAGAGGATCTGGGTTTGGTTCCCAGCACCAACATGGTGGCTAACAACCGCCCATAACTCCAGTTCCAGGGGTCCAACAATCTCTTCTGACCTCCATGGGTACTGCATGACACAGGTGTACTTACACACATACAGGCAATACACTCATACACATTAAAAAAAGAAAAAGTTACTGATTGACAAAACTAGCCTTGGGCAGAATCATTTCTTTGGAACAGACTCTTCAGGGAAAGTGATGTAACAGAAACTAGATGAAAAGCTGAGCACAGGTGCAGTTAAAGGGAACTCTGAAAGTTCTGCTTCTTCCTCAGCTTGCTTGGAGAGGGACAAAAGATAATGCACCAATCTGCTTTCCATTATATTAGTGGCTAGTACTCTTTACTTCACTCTAAGAGTTGCCATTAGCTAGACACACTAGTGAAATAATTACAAAATATGAACTATTAGGTGTAGTTAATGAAGAATATGGAGAGAATTAAGAAATTAACAGTACACAGTTTCTTTGAAAAAGTACTTTATTATTACATATTCTTGTATGTATGTTGAGTTAAACTCAGGGCCTCATGCATGCTGGGCACATACTCTTTCACTGAGCTATAACCTCATATATAGGTATTAACAATAGGCTTTATAATCACACAACAAAACATATCAATGAAATGACAGCTATATTCAATAAAATGTATGACTCTTAGAAATGTGTTGAATGAAAAAAATTCCAGTCTCTAGACTACATACAGTATGACGCCATTTCGATCAAATTCATAAAGGAACCAAACTGAAGAATAGGTCACGTAAGGGATACACATATATTTTAGGTCTTTTTTACCTGTGATTAAAGATATTAAAAAAGAGGAAGCAGGGAGAGAGTAGGGAGAAATCAGAGTGCAAATAAGTAAGTGCAAAGCACTGTAATATTTTATTGTATTTTTGTGGTGCTAGGAATTAAACCAGGGTCTTGTACATGCTAAGCAAGCACTCTACCACTGAGCTATACCCACAGTCCCAACACTGATGTTTTAAGCTGGGTAATGAATATATTTGCTAATTTGTTTGCATGCCATATTTTCTTTTATAAATGTCCAATATCACATTAAAATTTAAATATAAAATAGCAAATTATTGCTAAAATTATTATATAGTTGTTTTAAAATGTATGCTTATCAGGGGCCAGGCATGGTGGTGCACACCTTTAATCCTAGCACTCAGGAGGCAGAGGCAGGCGGATCTCTGTGAGTTCAAGGCCAGCCTGGTGTACAAAGTGAGTTCCAGGACAGCTGGGGCTACAAGGAGACCCTGTCTCAAAAAGACAAAAAAAAAGTACGCTTCTCAGTTTTCTTATAGGCAGTTCAGATTAATTTTAATACAAAATAATTTTATTAAAATTATTTCTTGCTGGACGTGGCAGTGCATGCCTTTAATCTTGGCACTGGGAGGCAGGAGCAGGCGGATCTCTCTACTTTTATGGAACTGAATGTAACAGTCAGTGTTGTTGGCCACCATCTTAAAAGGATTCTGTGTTTCCCTATTTTGTTGTTACAACTTTAAAATGTAAGACAAAAGTATCTTTCCTAGCTGCAAAGGAGGCTGGGAAACATATCTGGCATTTTCATATTCTTTAGGAAAGCCCTCACTCATTAGGTGAGGGAATCCCTAAGTAGGGATTAGGGAATTGGCAGTCGGTAAAGAAATGGCAGATGTCTGCCACAGCCCATTCTCTTGGTGACTAATAATTTAGTAATTTAAACTTGCTAAAAACTATATTCAAGGTAAAATGACTTAACGATGTAACAATCAGGCATTACTTTCTCAGTATTATTTTTCTTTCCTAACAGAATACTGATTTTATTTGGTGTAGCTAGGTACTTAGCCCTCTTTGCAGTTAGGCATATCTATTTAATAGGTCAGGCAGACAAGGAGAGGAGAAATCCCTTTGGCATTTCTGGAAAAGTTTTGCTTATCTCATGTACCTCCAGGGCAGGCAATTTCCTATTTCTCCCTGCTTTCCATAGGGGCATGATATCTGACATAGTAATCTCCTACAACCACAAGAAAATAGCATGAAAGAGGAAAGCCAATGTGCAAGAAGGCTGGCTGGACAGTACTGTACCACTGATTATTGTTCACAAGCACACATGTGCTCAGTGTCAACATTCTGGGAAACAGGCAGTAACTGTATCTCATTAATTGACTCTACTTAATTTATGGTATTTCCCAATATATAAACAGTGGTGTTTCTTTTGCCCTATTAATAAGATAGATTTTGCCACACAGTATTTGGCGTTTAAAGACATCTTAACTGGGTAAGAATGTACTTAAAGAGTGCACGGGTGTGAATCTTGGTTCCATTTTGGGCAAATTTCAACCTTCTTGGGACTGAGGTACAGTTGAAATGGAGATTATATGTCAGCAGCTGACACAGGAAAGCACTCGGTACATGTTAACAGTTATTGGCAGTACCACCTATACTTTGCTTCTGCAGCACCAACATTTCCTATTCTCTTTCTAGTTATGTTAGCTCTGTTGGATTCTCAAGTTTAAATAGTCCTTTTTCTGTGTCCTATAGGAGACCTATACTGGATTTATCATACTGCACAATTATATGTACCACCCTCCTCACTTCTTTTTTTGAGACAGTCTCATGGCTTTGCACTTGCCATATAGCTGATGATGACTCTAGATTCCTGATCCTCCTGCTTCCTCCTCCAACTTCTTAGATTACAGGCATGGACCATCATGCCCAGTTTATTCAGTGTTGAGGATCAAACCCAGGGCTCTGTGTTTGCTAGGCAAGCACGCCACCAACTGAGCTACATCCCCAGCCCTATGTGTACACTTACTTGTCTCCCCTTACCAGACTTTTAAAGTATTAGTCTTTTTAAATTTTTAACTCATAAGTCTTAGTGAAGTTCTCTGCACACAGACTAATACACACACACACACAGACACACATATTATAACATTTATTTGTTGTGTGTGTATATGTATGGGCATGGATGTCATAGCATGTATGTGGAGGTCAGAGGATAACTTGAAGGAGTTGGTTCTCACCTTCCACTTTGTGGGTTCCGGGGCTCAAACTCAGGTTGTCAGGCTTGGTGACAAGTACCTTTACATGCTGAGCCATCTCACCAGCTCTAGTAAATGTATTATTATTATTTTTTGGTCTTTTTGAGACAGAGTCTCCCTGTAGCCCCAAATGGCCTGGAACTCTTGCTACGTAAATCAGATTGGCCTTGAACTCACCAAGATCTGCCTGCCTCTGCCTCCCGAGTGCTGGGATTAAAGGCGTGTACCACCATGCCCAGCTGTAAGTGTATTCTTAACCTAATATTGTTAGAAGCAATCTGGGATGATTATTAAATATACAGATTCCTGGATTCTATCCTTAAATTTCTATTCAGAAGGTAAGTGAACCACAAATTAAGGAATGCTGACTTTCAGTGATTAAATTATGCACACGGTAAAGCTGTAATTAATACCTATTAATATACTATTTGCAGGGTTACACTGCTGGATATATTGTGCTGACTACAAACTGCTTGTGAAATCTGTTACGATTACTTGACAAGGTTGCTATGTATGTGAAAAAACATCCTCTAAAGTCCCTAATTAGACTCATTACTGAGTAAAATTAAAAAATCTTCTCAAAAGAGGTTTATACAAGCATAGATCAGTTCATACTAAAATTTTGCACACCAGTTGAATTCCTCCATCCATTCCAAAACAGACATTAACATCTTCACACAATTTCCTAACTGTACATTATGCTCCCAGCATTAACACCAACCAGGATCTATATTATACAGGGCACAGAAAGCTCTTTACACTCCTACTGCAAAGTGCAAACTGATTGCAGTGCAAAAATTAACAAATTCATCTTGATACCTCAGATGTGAAGAAATTCTTAACAAGCTATAAAGGGACATAAGGCAGATAAAGGGACATTATCTATAGCATAATGGGCTATTTGAGCACACTATTATTTTCAGTGGAATCGGAATGTGACAGCTGGCAAATGGCATAGGATACCTGCCCCCCTGAACAGACTTGTGGGACACACTTTGGGCACTTAGGGCATAAAGGCAAACATGTGGAGTGAGAATTTATCTGAAAAATGAAGTAAAAATGTCCAAACAGTGTGAAAGTGTTTTTCAAATTTTCTGAAGGACATCCAACAGAGATCTGACAAATTCTAAAATGATGTACACCTGTTCATTAATGCGCACTAGTCAAAGTTCACTGATATTACTGGGATCAGATGGACTCAGAATGCTCTGTAGAGATTTTTGTTGTATTATCTGGAATTAGTTCTTTGGAGTGTACAAATTTTTACAACACATAAAATACTAGCAAATAGCTCTTCATTTATTTACTGATTTAATATGTGAGTGTTTTGCCTGCATGTATGTAAGTGCATCCATGCATGCAATGCCCATGGAGGCCAGAAGAGGGCACTGGATCCCATGGAACTGGAGTTATAGATGGTGTTAGCTGCCATGTGGGTACTGGGAACTGAACCTGGGTCCTTTGCAAAAGGGGCTAGTGCTCTTAACCACTGAGCCATCTCTCCAGCCCCACAAATAGCTTTTTTAAAATACCAAGTCTTTCTCGTGCAGTATAGTGCTTAATATTAATATTGGCAGGTTTAAGATTATTTCAGCTATTTTTGGGAAAGCAGTATATAAAGAAGTATTTATAAATTTGAAATGTGAGTGTACCAAGAAAGGGGAAGGAGATGACAACTAGATCTGATAACCCCAGCATTTGAATCTGTCGGTTTTTTGCCTATACAGCATTAGGAATGTAATAGCTTTCTTTGGGTAATGAAAATGCTTCCACATAAAAAAAAGAAAAAATAGATCTTGAAAAAAGCAAACTACCACTGGTGGTAATGAAACATCCATGAAGGTGACTGTTCTTCAGTGCCACTGCTGGGTATCAATTAAATAGTGGGATATGATGCCTATGAACTATGATGTGAATAAATCTATCACATGTTCTTCAATAAGCTGAAGATTTCCTAATAGGACGAAAAACTGAAAACTGACTACTTAATCAAATAAATAAAAGCTAGTTTGGCATTCAAACCAAGTGCACATGTGCTGCACAGACATAGGCGAAGTTCAAGGTCCTCAACATTCTATGAATGATGAATATATTATCCTTAGGAGGTGGCGATGGTGGTGAGAACAAACAAAAACTCATCTGACTTATTTTCAAGTATATTTACTGGGGACTAGTAATAGGTTCTCTCAAATTAAGAGTAAAGACACCTGACCACAAAGTGCCAACTCCTAGCACCAGAGAGAATCAAAACTTCACAGATAAGTAACACTGTAAATCAGAGAATCTGCCAATCCAGTTCTGTGAAATCATGTTACTTTTCCAAGTTGGGGGTGGGGTGGGGTGGTGGTTGTGGTAGAGGGAATCCAGGTTTATGCCAAATATTTTTAAAAATTTAAATCTCTTTAAAATTCTTAGAAGTATATTTTACAATCCTATTTAAAATAAAATCACTGGTTTATAACAAAATTTTCAAAGTTTCAGAGCTGTGAAAACCAAAAATGAACTGAAAAGCAACAGTTTCTATAATTTCAAGGTCTCAGAAGTGAAAATTAAAGGCAGTTTCTTAGACAAAGGAATGATGAGGCTTGTGCATCTTTACTCATAAACTGTTTTGTTGATAACCAATATTGACTGGGAATTCTAAAATTCCATCTCATAGCTTTAATCAACACTAAAACAAGTCTGAGGCAAGAGACTGAATCAACAGTACTTGAACGGAGAGACAATCACTTCTCTCCCTGATGGATAGTCATCACCATCGTTCAGAAGTTCAGTTATTTGATGGGCTGGGAGGCAGGATCCACAGAATTTTCCTTTCTGACCTGAAGAGACTCACTACTGATGGACAATAATTCTCGAAGTTCCTTATTTTCAAGCTGGAAAAATAAAATAAAATAAAGATCTTCTTTATTTTAAGCATTAAAACTGTGTTAGAACAAATTTTGGGCCAGGAACAGAAAATAGACATTAAACGTTTTAAATGATTTAAAAATATTTTTATTATATTTATTTGTGGTGTGTGTGTGTACACATTATGGTGTGCTTGCAGAGGTCAGAGGACAACTTGTAGAAGTTGGTTCTCTCCTACCATGTGGATCCTGGGGATCAAACTCAGATTGCCTGGTTTCTGTGGCAACACTTTTACCCACTGAGCCATCTTGCCAGCTCATTTTAAAAGTTTTAAGGAAAAAAAGTCCCCAATAGCTGAGAATTTCCTAAAATATTACTTGGAAGTATTCAGTTTCAATAAAGATGTAACTACTTTTTCCTGCCATAGAGAGACATTGTAATAAATGATTTCATTCTCTTACACCTTTAAGGTGATTGCTGATGGGCTTAAGGAGAAACTCAGTGTTATTGCTAAGGGCTTTGTGTTATCAGTGGGAGAGGTTCTCAGAGACCCAGGGCAGCTACAGAACATAACCTCTCTTCACTCTACCTATCAACAGCTCTGTGGGACCTTTTGTTTGGAGAATACTCTTAAGTATAAATGTTCTAAAGAAATTTAAATTTAGGATCATATTAATAAAATTAGATAGTACTGTTAGTGTTTATCTTTTTTTCTTGTCTATTTTAACTTTGTGTGTGTGTGTGTGTGTGTGTGTGTGTGTGTGTGTGTGTGTATGTGTCTGCATATAGGCAAATCAGAGGACAACTCTGAAGTCGTTCTGTCCTTCCACCATGTATGTCTTGGGGCTTGAACTCAGGTTATCAGGCTTGGCAGCATGTTCCTTTACCCATTGAGCCATCCTGCCTGTACTTTACCTTCTTTTTAAACACATGTGGATATGGCCTCAGACTTGGAGGCTGGAGATGGAGGCAGTCACAAGTATATATCCTTGCCTGTCTCTCATCACTAAGTGGAAAATCAAAACTATGTGAGGAAATTAAAGTACAATGTTATGGTATGGTGGCACACGTATTTAATCCCAGTACTCAGGAGGCTGAGGCAGGTGAATCTTTTTTGAGTTCCAGTCCAGCCAGGGCTACATAATGGGACCCTGTCTGAAAAAAGAATCAAGATTAGCTGGGTGTGGACACAGGTCTATAATCTCAGTACTTGGGAGGCTGGGACTGAGGCTAACAGTAAGTTTTAGGGTAGCCTGGGCCACATAGCAAGACCATCTATTGCCCACCAGAAAAATCACCACCATCACCAAATCCCCAAACTTCTCCCAAACTCCAGATTATAAGGCTTAGGATAAAAAGCAGTTCTTGGACTTTTCCCCTTTTAGTGCCTTAAAAAAAAAAAAAAAAAAAAAAATAGAGTGTTTTACTATGTGGCCCAGGCTAGGACTTGCTATGTGGTGCAGGATGGCCTCAAATCCATGTTCCTACTGTCTCACCTTTTAAGTGTTAGGATTATAGGTGAGTACCTTAACACCTTTTTTTTTTTTTTTGGTCTTTTTGATACAGAGTCTCCTGTAGCCCCAGCTGGCCTTAAACTCACAGAGATCTGCTTGCCTCTGCCTCCCAACTGCTGGGATTAAAGGCATGAACAACCATGCCCAGCGTTAACACTTTTTATAGATTTCTTTTGGCATTTACTTGTATAAATCTAAAATGTATGCCTGTGCTGCTATTTCCCGATCATCAATTTTAGATATTGTCTATTTGACTTCCTATAATAGCAGATGAGGCATTTCAGTTCCCATATAAGTTGTTCCTTCTGTTCCCTACTTTCCTAATAAGCTAAATCTCAACTTTCAGCCAATATACAGGCTTCACATATTTTTTTTAAGCTGAGTCTTATGTACCCCAGGATGACCGTGAACTTCTCATCCCATTTCTACCTCCTGACAGCTGGGATTATGGTTGAACACCATCACACCCACATTTCTGTGGTGCTGGGGACCAAACCCAGAGTTTTGGATGTTAGGTAAGCACTCTACCAACTGAGCTACATTCCTAGTCCCAAAATTGATATTTCAACGACTACTGCTTACTGTATTTCTTTTCCTGAAAAGGGCAAAAAGGAGCAATTTTGTCACAAGCACAGTCAACATCCATATTGCTAGCAAAGGCAATACAGGAGGCTGAGACAGGAGAATTGTGACTTCTAGGCCAGTCCAGGCCACATAGTGAGACAATGTCTTAAAAAAGGGGAAATATGAATACACATTAGTGACAGGACAGTGATGACATGTCTGAGATGTATAAAAACTCTGTTGCTGATTTTGTTTTTGTTTTTGTTTTTGTGACATGGTCTCCCTGTAGCCCCAGCTCGCCTGGAACTCGCTATATAGACCATGTTGGCCTCAACCGCACAGAGATCCACCTGCCTCTGCTTCCTGAGTGCTGGAATTAAAGGCATGTACCATTACACCCAGCTAAAAACTTCTGAAAAATTGTGAACCTAACAGTAACACCCTTACCTCTAGTTGAGCTAGTTTTTCCTGAATCTTACAGAACTGGTTATCATCCACCTGAACCGCCTTCCTCATCACTTCTCCCATTTCACAGATTCTGTCAATCTGACTTTCAATTTCCTATGAAAATAAGAAAAAAAGATCATTCCTGCAGTTATGAAGAACATGACAACAGTGCATTATGATTTTTAGAACTTTATTAAAAGAACTTGTTTTGCAGAAATAAAAATGATAATGGGAGCTCACTCACACTACAGAAGTTACACTGGAATTACACTATATTCTGAGCCATAATAATGCACATTTGTGGTATTCATAATTTCCATTCTCAAAAGATCATTTATACCCAGGTGTAGTGACAAACATCTGTAATCCCAGTACTTGGGAGACTGAGGCAAGAGGATCAGAATTGGGAGCCAGCCTGGGCTAAATGAGACCCAGGCTCAAAAATAAATAACAACTTGGGTATGGTGGCACATGCCTTTAATCCCAGCACTCAGGAGGCAGAGGCAGGTGAATGTCTGTGAGTTCAAGGCCAGTCTGGTCTACACAATGAGTTCTAGGCCAGCTGAGGCTACAGGGAGACCCTGTCTTAAAAAAAAGACCCCCCCCCCAAAAAAAACCCCACAAACAAAACAAATTACAAGGGCACCTGTGTCATGCAGTACCTGCAGAGAACAGAAGAGTATCAGATCCCATGGAACTGGAGTTATGGAGGGTTGTTAGTTGCCATGTCAGGTGCTGGGATTCAAACTCATGTCTCTGAAAGAGTAGCCAGTGCTCCTAACTGCTGAACCCCAGCCCCCTTGGATGGTATTTTTATTTATTAGTTTTATTTTATGTGTATGAGTGTATTGCCTACATGTGTGTAAGTGCACCCGTATCATGCAGTGCCTGCAGAGGTCAGAAGAGGGTGTTGGATCCCTTGGCATTGGAGTTATGGATGGTATTTTTAAGTGGCTATTTAACTTAAAATTTGAATACTTGTATGTGTAGTAAGCTTACCATAGTACAAAGTGCTTTTATTATCTTTGGGACACTTTCAGAAAGTATTTCTATATAAGCTAAATTCTTGTCTCCTTTAGAACATAGAAAATAACCTTTTCTCTTCCACAGGAAAGCCATTTAAATATCTAAATCATTCCAGTTATCCCAAACTTTTAAGTCAGTAAAATGAATCAAATGGAAGGACGATGAAATGTATTACATCTTCATTTCACTGTAGCAAATAGTAAGGTTCTAATCTATCAACAACAGGTTAAAATACATATACATGTAAATGTACAATGACAACCAGGAAGCACCCTACAAACTACTGGGTTTTCCAAATTAGGTTACAAGTAACTGAAGTATACAACCTGCCATTAAAAAGCAAAGCAAAGCAAAACAAAACAGGGAGGCTGGAAAGAGGACTCAGTAGTTAAGATCATGTACTGGTCTTGAAGAGGACCTGAGTTCGATTCCTGGCACCCATATCTGGTGGCTCACAATGCTTCTAACTACAGCTCCAGGGGATCTGTTGCCTCTGCCCTCTGTGGGGTACATACAAACACATGCTTACATATAATTTAAAAATTAAAATCTATATGAAAAGCAAAACATTTTCTCCCCCAGTAACACAGTATGCCTAATTTAATAAAGGTTAGTGACTAGTTGCCATGGTGGCAGATACCATCTTAGGGATAAGATCGAATTCATGCCCTTACTTAAAGCAAAAAAGCTTACAATTTAGTAAAATGTACAAGTAATAATCAGCCAAGTGTTCACCAAATATTTTCAACACTAACTGGCATTGTTTGGTAGATGAGAACTTGCTATGTAGCCCAGGTTGGCCCAGAACTCAAAATCTTCCTGTCTCTGCCTCTTGAGGGCTCATTAATACCTTGAAAAGGGATCTTGGTGAGGAAAGGAGGTAATTTGATACCACTCAAAAGGTGTGAGCAGCCCTCATTCCCTCCTTTCTATACATATCTTTACAATGCCAAAGCAAAATAATGTGAAAACCATGAAAGAAAGTTAGGCTTTTTTCCAAACAAAACAATAGCCTCAAGATTTCAATTCAGTTTATTTAGAATTTATGCATTAACATTTCTTACTGCAGAGTGAGACTGGTGAGCTTTCAGAACTGGTTCAGTATCCACGGCTTTTTTAGCGACCATTAACTGTAACATCTGTTTCCGGTACTTGCTCATGATGAGTTCCAAAGCATCTTGGTGTTCCTCCAAAGAAACCCACAGCTCTAATAAAAAAGCAAAATACCTTTGGCTGTAATGTCTATGACAGATCTCAAGACTAACCTCTTAACAGCTGAAGCTTTTTCCATGGATATTGTGAATCACAAGTTGTAAATCAACATGTAAGCCTACAAAAAAGTAATGTCTAGCCGGGCATGGTGGTGCACGCCTTTAATCCCAGCACTCGGGAGGCAGATCTCTGTGAGTTCAAGGCCAGCCTGGTCTACACAGTGAGTTCCAGACCAGCTGGGACTACTGGGAGACCTGTCTTAAAAAGACCAAAAAAAAAAAAGAGTAATGTCTACATGAAATATACTTTTTCTAGCAAGTATAGTCTGGCAGAAATAACATGGGATGTGTAAACATAAGACACAGATTTGAATTCAGTTTTTAAATTTACTTAAGACTCATAAGCAAGTAATTTAATCTCTCTGAGACTAGTTCTTAATTGCATTGTGTAAATACTTGGTTTGTCAACCAAAACAAAGACATAAGAATACAGGGGAATGACAGATGCAAAAGCTCTCTGTAAGACAGGCAACTATATGACTGTCATCCTCAACCCCAAGAACAAATATCCTGATAAAATCCTACTCTTCCATCTTGCACAGGTCTATAAACAAATCTTCTATCTTGAGTGCTTATTTCAATATCTAAATATTATCTTTTGGGAATATGAACTCTTGTGAAACAAGTCTCCATCTGGTATGCCGTAAAAAAAGACACCCAACAATTCAACTCTACTAAACACCTCTTTTTTGTTTTGTCTTTTCCAGACGGTCTCTCTGTATCTCCGGCTGGCCTGGAACTCCTATGTGGATCAGGCTGGTCTCCATCTGTGACATCCGCCTGCTTGGCCTCCAAAGTGTTGGGATTAAAAGCGTGCGCCACCACGCCCAGTTTAAACTAAACCTCTTTAATTATTTTTTATGAGTGTTTTCCCTGCATGTTTTTAACTGCACCCACGCCATGCAATGCCTGCGGAAGTCAGAAGAGGGCGTCGGATACCCTGGAACTGGAATTACAGACTGTTGTTAGCTGCCATGAGGGTGCTGGGAATCGAACTCAGGTCCTCTGGAAGAGCAGCCAGTGCTTTTAACCACTGAGCCATCTCTCCAGCCTGTAAACACCTCTTTAGAAGTCATCAATCGAAGTTTTAAGAAGGGTAATCTAAGGTTATTATAAGATGACTCTGACAAGTACTGACCTAGATATCGATATAAGACGCGTACTCTCGTGAACTGTTGAGGCACTTTTGTAAGAATTTCCAAACTATTACCAGATATGAAAAAAAAAAATCGCAACTATACAAAATTGGCCCGACTAACCTCTGTTTTCTTGCTGCAGGTCTCTAATTTGTGTATTCTCTTGAGACAGCAGAATGTGAGGTTTATATTTGGACACGTCCTTCATGTCAGCTGCATCCTCTTGATACTGGACAAACAGAGACAGACTAAGCGCCGTAAACAAAACAGCGGCAGATGCAAAGGAGCGGCCACAGCCCGAACCTCGGGCCAGGATTCCAGCCCTGATCCCAAAGGGAGCTCGCACTCCCGCCCACGAGCCCAGGAATAAACTCCAGAGTCCACGCCACCAGCGGTCCTCCCCGGAGCGCCCGCCCCCGCGCACGGCCCGAACCTCCCGGACCTGGTCCGGAAGCACCGTCCCCGCATCCCGCATCGCCGCCACCCGCCGGTGCAGAGCGGCCGACTGGTCCACCAGCGACTCGGCTGCCGCATCGTGCTCCCGCAGCCGGTCCAGCAGCGTCTTGGCATCCGTCAGGATTTTCTCGATCGTGCAGCTCATAGCGGCCGAAGACGCCGCCAGGCGCGTTGGCCTACGCAATTCGCTCAGCCCTTGCCCAACCGGGCTCAGTGCTACAGGCGTCACTTCCGGGCACCTTTTAAAGGCGCCTGGGAAGTCTGTGGCGCCTGCGCAGTACTGGGCCTGCTTTCCCCTCAGGTTTCCCAGCAGCCTTTCTAGGGTGAAGCTTGAGGAATGCCCCTGCCACGCCCTTGGTTCCTGGTCCCACGTCCTGTTAGGGCTGTCCTAGCCCTAGGTTCTCCTTTGCTTCTGGCTTTGAATGATGTGGCTTGTTAGTCATAAGGTTTCAACAAGCAGTTGGAAAAAAAAGTAAAATACACAGGAACCCCTCCCTCTCCTTCCCTCTCTCTCTCGCTTCCCCTCCCCCTTCAGCCTTTTCCCCCATCTCTCTTCTCCCTTCACCCCTCAGGTTTCAAGTATTCCAGGCTGGCCTGGAACACCCTGTGTAGCCAAGGATGACAGCATCTTGATTCTCTTGCCTCTAAGAGTGTTGGCCAACCTGCTTTATGTGGTGCTGGGAATAGAGCACAAGGCTTCATGCTTGCTAGGTGTATTAGTTACTTATTTTGCTGCTGTGACGAAATACCTAACAAAAACAAGGGGGGGTTATTTTATCTTACAGTTTGTGGGTACAGCCTATCATAGGACAAAGCCATGGCAGTAGGAGCTTGAGGCAGCTGTTCACATTGAATCTGCAGTTAGGACACAGAACAATGAATGCTGGTGTTCAGCTTTCGTTCTCCTTTACATTCAACCCAGACATAAGCCCATGGGATGATGTCTGCCGTTACTACCTCACCCTAACTAATGTAACTAATTCCTCACAGGCTGGCCTGAAGGCTTGTCTCCTATGTGATTCTAGATCCTGTCAAGTTGACAATATTAACCATCACTCTAGACAATGGAGATGCCTCCCCAGTCCACTTTTCTTTTTGTTTTTTAAACCAGTTCTGGGGATTGAAGGTGGGGCTCACTCTTTCTGTGCTAGTGCTCTTCCACTAGACTATACCCTCAGCCCCTTCAACTCCTTAAGTGTCCAGCTCAGTAGTACAAGGCACACTCAAATTGTGTGACTAGTGGGCAAGGGGCAGGGCTTGACTAAACCTGGAGACTCAGAAGTTGAGGGCTTTCCACCCACCCGAGGAAGGAAATACTGCTGCTGCTGAGATCTCACCAGCACCAGGGTTCATAGAACTTCAGCTGTCAAAATGGGCAGAATTTTCCTTGATCAGGTCCGTGGTGGTTCCTACCTGTTTGTGTGTGCGTGTGCACACATGTGTACTGTGATAGGATCCTGACCAACCATTAAGAATTAATCTCTACTCCTTTCACACAGTTTCTTTTTAACATGGTAATTAATTTGCAGTGCAGTGATGTTCAAGATGGGATCTATGAAACAGACAGTGAAGACAGCCAGTGGGATAAGGAAGGCAGTATGATCCTGGATCATGCTTTAGTTCAAGAAGAGGGCTTTGAGGAGAGATAATATAGCAGTTAAGAGCGTATAGGTTCCTAGCACCCATGTCTAGTGGCTCATAACCACTTGTAACTCCAGCTCCAGGATATCTGACTCCCTCTTCTGTCCTCCCTGGGCAGTTAAACTTGTGTGCACATCTCCCACATAAACACACATGTATACACTTAATTAAAAATAAGAAGTGTCTGGGAGGATGGTTCAGTGGTTAAGAGCACTGGCTGCTCTAGCAGAGGACTAGTTTGTTTCCAGCACCCACATAGCTGCTAACAACCTTCCATAACTCTAGTTCCCGGGGATCTGGCACCCTCTTCTGACCACCTTGCGCATTGCACAAGGGTGCACTTAAATACATGCAGACAATATACACGCATAAAAAGAAAAAATAATAAAATATTTAAAAAATAAAAAATAAGGTAGCTGGACATGGTGGTGCCTGCCTATTATTCCAGCACTGGGGAGGCAGAGGCAGCTTTTGAGATCAAGGCCAGCCTAGTCTATAGCAAGTTCCAGACCAGCTGCAGCTACACACACACACACACACATGTGCACATACACAAAGAATTGTATTTTATGTCCAAAAGCAGTGTACATGGAAACTACTATGCAGATAACATCTGTTTTTTCCCCCTATGTTTACTTCTTGATACAAGAGTCTATGAGCTATGTGAGGGGTTAAATTGGACTATGAGGCTGGGCGTGGTGGCACACGCCTTTAGTCCCTGCACTTGGGAGGCAGAGGCAGGCAGATCTCTGTGAGTTCAAGGTCAGCCTGGTCTACATAATGAGTTCCAGGCCACCTGTGGCTACAGGGAGACACTGTCTCAAAAAAGCTGTCCCCCCCAAAAAAAAAGTGCTAAAAAAATTGGACTATGAGACTTTGAAAAAGCTAGGAGAGAGACATAGAATGGATTCTTTCAGGTACTCTAAAAGATCCAGACCTCTGACACTTTGACTTCAGACTTCTGGTCTCCATAACTATCAGAGAATACATTTCAAGCCACCAGCAGTAATTTGGTAATTTGGTAATAGTCCCAGGAAATTTATACACAATATGTGTGTGTGGGTTGTGTGTATTTTGAGTGTGCGAGTGCATGTGTGTGGAGGCCAGAGGACAGCCTCAGTTGTCATTCCTCAGGAGTGATGACTTATTTTAAAAAATATTTTATTTATATTTTATGTGTTTGAGTGTATTGCCTGTGTGTAAGTGCATCCATGTTGTGCAATGCCTGCAGAAGTCAGACAAGCCAGTGCTCTTAACCACTGAGCCATTTCTCCAACCCTGGCTTGTTTTATGAAACAAGGCCTCTCATTGGCTAGGGGCTTTCTGATTTGGCTTGGTCAGCTAGCTAGCAAGCCCCAGTGATTCACCTCTCTCTGACTCCCCTATGCTTTCTTTTAATTGAAAGAAACTTGTTCTATTTCTGTGTGTGGTATATGTGTATACATGTTTGTGTGCATATGTGGGTGCAACTGCATGTGTGTGCTCATGTATGTGAGGTATGTGTGTGCATGTTTATGTATGTGTTCATGTGAGGGGGTGTAAATGCATGTGTGTGCACATGTATGTGGAAGCCAGGGGTTAACATCAGATGTTTTCCTCAGTTGCTCTCTAACTTTTTTCCATTTGAGGTAGGGTCTTACTGTGTAGACCAGGCTGGCCTCTTTGACAAGAGATCCACTTGCATCTGCTTCCTGCATGCTAGGATTAAAGGCACGTGCCACCATGCTCAGCCTAAAGATTTTATTTTTATCTTTTAAATTATGTGTGTGTGTTGGGAGGGGGGTGCCTACATGAGTGCAGTGCCTACAGAGGCCAGAAGACAGCATAGAATTCTCTAGAACTGGAGTTACAGGTGGTTGCGTGCTGCCTGATATGGGTGCTGGGAACAAAACTCTGGTCCTCTGGAAGAGCAGTAAGTACTCATAGCTGCTGAGCTGTCTCTCCAACTACCTTATTTATTTTTGAAACGGTTCTATGTATTTATTACTGAACCAGTTTGCTCATGCAAAGCAGATAAAATGCAAATCAGATTCCTGATTTAAATATGAACGAATCTCCAGGATAAAAGCTTTCAGCTCTATCTGATAGGACCCATGGATGACCATGATGCAGCTTAAGCAGTCAATTGCACAATCTTGTGTGAATTCTTACAGACCCAGCTCGGTTCTTCTCCAGTGTCTTCTTTTGGAATTGTACCTGAGGTAGAAGCAGACATAGTCTGAATGGCTCCTTGTGGATCACTCACAAAAGCTCTTGCACAGGGCTAGCAACATGACCCAGTGGGTAAAGGCACTTGCCACATATCCTGGTGACATGAGTTCAATCCCTGGAACTCATGGAAAGTTGGAAGGAGAGAACCAACTCCACAAAGTTGTTCTGACCTCCACATATGTGGTCCATAGCACATATGTGATTAATAATAGATAATCATGATCACTCCAGAGCAATAGTGGTTTTCAGAGTTGAAGCAATCTCTGAACTGTCCATTACAAGCAGTCATGATTTTACCCACAGAAAGGCAAGATCAGAAACAACATTTTACCTTTAAAATTTTTTTTGAGTCACGGTCTCTCTGTGGCCCCAGTTGACCTGGGACTCGCTATGTAGACCAGGCTAGCTTTGATCTCATAGATATCTGCCTGCCTCTGCCTCCCAAGTGCTGAGATTAAAGGCATGCATCACCATGCCCGACTTCTACCTTATTTTTTGAGACAGTCTCTCACTGAACTTGGAGTGCTCTGATTGGCTAGACTGGCCAGCGAGCTCCAGGGATCTACCGTTCTCTGCTCCTCTCCAGTGCTGGGGTTTCAGATGTATGCTGCTATGGTGGTTTGAATGAGAATGTCCCCCAAAGTCTCCAAGTATTAGAACACTTGGTCCCCAGTTTGTGGTGCTGTATGGGGAAGGTCATGGAACCTTTAGGAGGTGTGACCATTCTCAAGGAAGCATGTCACTGGAGGCGGGCTTTGAGAGTTCTTAAGCCTTGCTAGATTTCCAGTTTTGATGTTTCCTGTGCTGTGTGAAGAGGTTATCACTCAGCTTTCTGCTCCAGCTGCCTCCTGCCACCATGCTTCCCCTGCCGTTATGGACTGTCCCTCTGGAACTATAAACCTAACAAACTCTTCCTTCTATAATTGGCCGTGGTCATGGTGTTCTATCACAGCAATAGAAAAGTAACACAGCAATCATGCCTTGCTTTTATGTGGTTACTGGGGATCCTAACTCAGATCCTGGTGCTCAAGTGAAAGGAAACATTGCCAGTAGCCATCTACTCAACCCCCAACCCAGTTTTTTTTAATGTGAGTTCTGTAGATCAAACTCAGGTCCTTACACTTGTGTGGCAAGTGCTTTACGTACTGAGATATGTCTCCAGTTCCTCTATCATCCATCTATCTATCTATCTATCTATCTATCTATCTATCATCTATCTATCTATCTATCTATCTATCTATCTATCTATCTATCTCTCTCTCTCTCTCTCTCATCTATCTATCTATCTCATCTATCTGTCTATTTTGTTTTGAAACAGGATCTCACTTAACCCTGGCTGGTCTTGAACTTGCTATATAGATGAGGATGACTTT